GGAGGCTGCAGTGAGCCGAGACCGTGACGTTGCACTCCAGCCTGGGCCACGGTGAGAAACTCCACCCGGGAGGTGGAGGCTGCAGTGAGCCGAGATTGTGACACTGCCATCCAGCCAGGGCCACAGTGAGAAACTCCATCCCTCCACAGACAAAATTACTGGCTTTTTTCCCAGCACAAAAGTAAAACATGCTTACAGAAAGCAACGTGGGAAAACAAAGAAAAGTAGAAATGGAAAGAAAGTCTCCCCACTCACCAAAAATAGCCACTTAGTTCCTTCCTGTCCTTCTTGCAGATGATCAGGAAATCTGTGTAACTACAAACCTTACACAGGACCAGGGCACCCTATTCTTTGTCCTAAATATGTTAAGAGCAGCTTTCTTACACATGAGCCCAATAGCCACTCCACGCTCCGCCCAGGGACCCTCCACCCCCCAGGGCCTCTGAGCTGTCCCATGTGTCCAGAGGTGCAGAAGGAGCTGCAGGACCAGCTGGCCCCTGCATGGGGGTCAGTACCTTGTACCGGGCTGGCCAGGTGGAGATAACGCCCGACCAGTTGCATGCACACAGCATCCATGAACTCGAATGCAGACAGGATCTCGCCCAGCATCCCCTTGCAGGTGCTGAAGGTCTGCAGAACCTCAGCAAAGCCTGGACAGCCTGAAACGGGTCACAGCACGTCAAGCACTGCACAGAGCCAAGCCCAGCCCACCCAAGTCCCCCTTCAAAGCAGCAACATCAGCCCGACTCATGTAGGGTGAGCTGGGCAGCCGCGAGGAGTGCAACGGCTGGCACTGCAAGAAACAGCCCAGGGTTCGCCCGGCAGGTACACGTCTGGTGTCACCACCAGCATCAGGAGGGGAAGGCGCCGAAGAACCACACAGCACCTGAGACAGCAGCAGTGGGACTCAGAGCGGGTATATCTTGGGAACTCTGCAAACACAGGGCCAGCAACAGGCAGCCTTTGGGAACGGCTGCATTTCTCTTAACACAGTCAGCACTCAGGTCTTCCCTGCACTCAGGACCTCATCCAGCAGGCATTTACCGGACACCCTGAGCTCCCTGCGGTGCTCCAGAGTTGGGGGGCTACCAGCAAGGCCCCTGCCCTGGGGAAGCCGACCCTCAAGGATAAAGATGGAAAGGAACTGAGTGGGTGTCCACAGGTGGACAGCCCCAGAGATGCTGCAGCAGGAGGGGGCCCTGCCCATCTTTCAGGGCGAGATGGGGAAGCAATGTGAAGGCACGTGGATATCAGAGAAGAATTTTCCAGAGAGAAGGTCTCACAAGTGCAGAGGCTGGAGGCAGACACCTGCACTGGGTGACACAGGAACACCTCGAGGCCTGTGACCCAAGCGCCATGATGGGGTGTGGCTGCAGACGCAGAGGGCCGGGTGTGGGAGGTGTCGGTGGTGTGGGAGGGTCTGGCAGTGGCTGCAGGTGTCGGTGGTGTTGGAGGGTCTGGCGGTGGGGACTTGGCATCTTGCTCAGAGTGGGTGGGAAGCCCCAGGAAGTGGGACAAGAGTGCCACGTGGGAAGTCGCCCCAGCTGCAGGAGGGCAGGAGCCAGGGCTGACCAGAGGGCCCTGCAGAGCCGGACTGAGCCCACGAGCACGCGGGACCCCAGGGCCATCCTCACAGGGGCCTGTTCTACACGGTTTAGATGTGGGTGCAGCACAAAGAGGCGACTGACTCCTCTCTGAGACCTGGAGGCAGGAGGAGCAGGATGCGGCAGCCGGGCTGGCCTCGGGCTCCCAGGACCACAGGCAGGCGGCACACAGGTGACTGCAGTTGGAGTGGGATCAGAGCAGAGAGCAGAAAACAGGAAACGTGGATGAAGAGGACCCACTGATCCAGACAGCACTGCCACCCAGAGAGAGTCTGGCAGAAGCAGTCAGGGCTGCCCCAGCCGTTCCGGGGTCAGGGGTGAGGAGCCGCACCAGGGGCTGAAGGTGGAGGGTGGGCAAGAAGGGGGTGTGGGGGCAGCATCACAGGCCAGGCTCGTGCCAAAGGCAATGGGCGAGAGGGGCAATGAGAACTGATGGCTGGGTTGGTGGTGGGAGGACAGTGAGTGGCAGCCTTGGTGGGAGGGGCACCAGTGAAGCGGGCAAGTCCTGATTAGGGCAGATCCAGGAGAAGGGGCCTCCACCCAGCAGCGATGGGCTAGGCCACGTGACCCAGTGCCCAGTGAAAACACCACGAACGCTGGGCCAGAAAATATCGAAGAAAAATGCTGAAGAGGCCGGGCACGGTGGCTCAGGCCTGTAATCCCACACTCTGGGAGGCCGAGGCGGGCAGATCACCTGAGGTCAGGAGCTGGAGACCAGCCTGGCCAACATGGTGAAACCCTGTCTCTACTGAAAATACAAAAATTAGCTGGACGTGGTGGCGGGTGCCTGTAATCCCAGCTACTTGGGAGGCTGAGGCAGGAGAATTGCTTGAACCAGGAGGCGGAGGTTTCAGTGAGCCGAGATCGCGCCACTGCACTCCAGCCTGGGCGACAAGAGTGAGACTCTGTCCCAGAAAAAAAAAACCACGCTGAAGAGCATCAAGGGCAAGGGAAGAGCCTGACCTGGGGGCTGAGCAGCACCAAGCCCAGTGCCGCTCTTGGCCGATAGTCCTTGCCCCGCCAGCAGGTTTGGCCTCAAGCTTCCCAGCCCACCCAGAGTGAGGAATCCAGGAGACCCCCACAGGGCCACATCTTAGGAGTCAGGGCCAGAAGCAAGCCTGTCCCAACCAACTTGCCCCGAAGACTGCAGGGGAAGTGGTTGAACAGAATGAGAAAAACGCAGAACGGAGCTCGGCGCAGGCGTTCATGCCTGTGGCCCCAGCATTTTGGGAGGCCAAGGCAGGAGAATTGTTTGAGCTCAGGAGTTCAAGACCAGCCTGGGCATCACGGTGAGACCTTGTCTCTACAAAACAATTTTAAAAATTAGCCAGGCATGGTGGTACACACCTGGTCCCAGCTGCTTGGGAAGCTGAGGCAGGAGGATCCCTTCAGCACAGGAGGTCAAGGCTGCAGCGAGCCACGACTGCACCACTGCACTGCAGCCTGGGTGACAGAGCGAGACCTTGTCTCTCAAAAATATGCAGGAGAGTAATATTAAAAAAAAAAAAAAACTTTCCTGATAAATCATGACCCTCGATCAGCCCTACACAGCCCAACACTGACTTGCTGCCTGGGAGGTTCACAGAATTTCATTCTATGAACTTGGTCACTCCCAGGCTGCACAGACCCAGAGCCCCCTAGCAAAAGCAGAAACAAACCCCCTCTGGAGGAAGGTGCTTTGTCTTTGGCATCTAGGAACCCCCACGAATAATTCTTCAAACGTAACGAGCTGAACACTGCCACAGCCAGCAGGAACCCCTACGAATAATTCTTCAGACGTAACGAGCTGAACACTGCCACAGCCAGCCAAGCACAGAGAAACTAAGGAGCCAGGAGGGGGAACCAGCAGGAACAACAGACACTAAAACAGACTACACAGGCTGGTGCAGTGGCTCAGGTGCACACCTATAACCCCCACACTTTAGGAGGCCACGGTGGGAGGATCGTTTGAGCCCAGGAGTTCAAGAGCAGCCTAGGCAACATAATGAGACCCTGTTTCTACACACAATTTTTAAAAAATTACCTAGGCATGGTGGTGTGCACCTGTAATCCCAGCTACTCAAGAGGATGGCTTGAGCCCAGGGGCTATGATCACACCACTGCACTCCAGCTTGGGCAACAGAGTGAGACCTGGTCTGTAAAAAAACTTTTACAGACTGACTACAGACTTGAAAAAATGGAATTGCCTGATTATAAAACATCATAAAAAATTATTCAAAGTTTTTTTTTTTTTTTTGAGACAGAGTCTCGCTCTGTCACCCAGGCTGGAGTGCAATGGCGCAATCTCAGCCCACTGCAACCTCTGCCTTCCGGTTTCAAGTGATTCTCCTGCCTCAGCCTCCCAAATAGCTGGGATTACAGGCGTCCACCACCATGCCCGGCTAATTTTTGCATTTTTAATAGAGACAGCGTTTCACCCTGTTGATCAGGCTGGTCTCGAACTTCTGACCTCGTGATCTGGCTGCCTCAGCCTCCCAAAGTGCTGGGATTATAGGTGTGAGCCACTGCGCCCAGCCTAATTTTTGTACTTTCAGTAGAAATGGGGTTTCATCATGTTGGCCAGGCTGGTCTCAAACTCCTGACCTCAAGTGACCCACCCACCTCGGCCTCCCAAAGTGCTGGGATTATAGACGACAAACTATGTTTAAAGACACAAATGGTGAGCTTGAGAATACCCAGAATAAAAAACTATAAAAAGTGACATTGTAGATTTGAAAAAAATAATAAAACTTCTAGAAACAAAAAACTTTCATAATCAAAATGTAAAACTCAATGGACAGAGCGAACCATCCATGGAGGGGTTCAGCAGCATATAAAACACAGCAGAAGGGGGCATTCGTGAACTGGAAGACAGATGAGAAGAAATCACGCAGAATGCAGCACAGAGACACGATGACGACAATACGGAGGGGAGATTAAGAGACACAGAAGACGGACGAGACGTTCTATCCTGAATCACATTCCCAAAAGGAGAGGAAAACACAGGCAATATCTGAAGCAATAACGGCTAAGAATTTCTAGAACTGGTAAAAGATGCCACGTCACAGGTTTAAGAAATTCAGTAATTCCAAAGAGATGAAAAAGAACTAACACCACACACTGAAAACTTCAGAAGATCAAAAAGAGTGATGTTTAAAGTGGCCCACAGGGGGCCGGGAGAGAGGCAGAATCCCCTCACAGCAGCGCCTACAGACAGCGAAGTACCCAACAGCGAGGAGGCCAGAGGACAGGGGGCGGCATTTCCACCGAGATGAAAGAAAACAAACGACAGCCGGCAGCCGTGTGCCTGCGGAGAAGAGCCTTCAAGAATGAGGGTGAAATAAAGGTATTTTCAGACACACCAGAAGGGAGGAAGTGGTCACCAGGAGACCTTTACCTCAGGAAACGAACGAGGATCTGTTTGCAACATACTCCCAAACGGAAGAGCGGACGCAAGAGAGTGGAAGGCAGAGACAGTGGCCATAAAATAACAATCCTGGTGAGACTGTTTAAATACGGAACACACATCACAAGATGTAAGTGCTGAGGGAACAAGCGGAGTCTCAGCAGCCTCCAGGGCTGCCCAATCTTCTGGCAGCTCAAGACACTGAACTGGGAGTCGGTGAGCTAGACCCGCCACCACTCACGCGAAGACTGCTGGGCTGTGCGACTTCTGAACCCCTGAGGAGGAGATGCTGGATAAACCTGCCCGATTCAATCGAAACAAGAAAGGAGACAAAGGCATGTCCCGGGAGAACCGAAGAAGCGGCCGTGAGGAAAGCAGGCCTGTGGAGACACGGCAGCAGGCAGGTCTGCTGAGACCGCCAATCTGGGCTGACTAGGGAAGACCCCCATTACAGGAGGGAATTCTTTATCCCCACGGTAACTAAGAGTGGTGTCCCGAACTGATGCCAAATGACAGCACGTCCCTCAGTCTTACACCACAAGCTACTTAACTAACACAATGGGGTGAAGGAGGCAACACAAGCCTCAGTTTTGCTATGAAATGAAGTGTCCTCTGACCAGAGACAGAGACAGGCCTCACTCCAGACCTTTACCCACGACCACCAGGAAAGCCAGGTCCTGGATTTGATTCCCTTGGAAGCAGAGATGTCAGGAGATACGGGAACCGACAGTCCTGGGGGGGTCCCTCCATCCCCTTCCTCACACCAGCACCGTCAGAGCAGACGCTCGAGCCCAACTCCCCGTCTCCAGGCACAAATCGAGGAAGCCCACCGAGGAAAGCCACGTTCACAGCCCTGGGCTTGGGTGGACACAGGATGGACACCGCAGTGATGACCCCCAAAGTGCCCTCCGACCCGATGAACAGCTGCTTCAGGTCATAGCCCGTGTTGTCCTTCCTCAGGGAGGTCAGGCAGTCCAGGATGGTGCCGTCGGCCAACACCTGGGGGCGAAGAGAAGCGCGTTCACCCGCCTGCCAGCCTCCTGACACCGCGTCGGTCGCCTCCGGGGCCAGGTGACACTCCTGCAACAGCCTGCGGTCATGCCAAGAGGCTGACGGATGTACTTTCCTCCCATACGAGTGACACCCCCCACACACAGCAGCTCACTGCCCAGGGGGCACGCCCAGGGTTGGGGGCAGTGGGGAGGCTCCCCGGGAGTAGGGCATTGAGAACGCAGAAAAGAGCCAAGCCCAGGACCCAGCCACCTCCGGACCCACCAGCCATAAGGCAGCAAAGCTCCCGAGCTGCGGGCCTCTCCGTGTCCTGTGTGCTGGTACTGGGAGACGGAGGCTTCTACAGCTCGTGAGTGCAAGAAAGTAATTTATAATAAAGATAATCAGTGGCTGGCCAGAATAAAAGCTACTGGAGCGTCATAATTTACTGGATGGCAGCAAAGCATGGTTTTGTGTTTGCTTCGTCCACGCGGGTAAACAGGACAGAGAGCTCTGCCCGTGACACTCGGCTGGTGAGGGTGCAGGGAAACGGAGGGGCCCTGGAGGAACAGCGGTCGACACAAGGTCACGAAGCTGACCCTGGATGAGCGTTCCTTCACACCCGGCTCCCGGAAGCCCACCACTGCCAGGGCAGTGGCCCCTGTAACTGCATCCTCTCCGTGTGGCCCCGAGGCAGTGGACACAAAATCACCCAATCATGGGAGGGCAGGGCAGGGCAGGGCCTCCCTCAGGATGGGGGTGTATGTAGCCCGCACGTCCCTGAGGGGCCCAGGGCCAGGAACCAAGACCTCCCACCCCGAGGGGCCCCATGCACCTGCACTACCACGTGGGCCCACGAGAGCTGCGAGAGGACACCCCATGGCCACCTCTGCGCCAAGCGGCCGCCCCAGCTCACCACTTCCAGGCCCAGGACAGTCCCATGCAGTGAGCCGTATCGAAGAAACCGCAGGCCCCCGGCGTTGGTTGCCACGTTTCCCCCGATGTGGCAGCTGCCCTTGGCTCCTAAGTCCAGCGGCATGATAAAGTCCCGTTCCTCCACGTAGTGGCTCAGCTCCTCCAGGACGCAGCCCGCCTGGCAAACCAGAATTCCTGCAGAGAGCGACCAGGCTGCCACAGCACTCGGCTTCCAGTGGGCCCGGGGCTGGTGGGGCCCACCCCCATCCCGCACAGGCAGGCCACCCAGAAGGAACATCAGCCTCAGCGCCAGGGCCGAGGAGAAGAGGCGCCCCCACATCGCTGGCCCGAGGCTGAAAACATCCGGGCCTAACAGGACCTTTATGATTACAGCGACACAAAAGAAAAATGGGTAACATGAAAAGAGAGGGAAAAACTTCCCACCCACACACATGCTCCTGGAAAGGAGCAGAAGGGGAAAGATTCTCGGCTGGGGCTGATCCTGGCCCTGGGCACGTGGGACAGTGTCTGGAGACATTCTGGGTTGGGGGTGCCGTGGGCACCTCGTAGGCAGAGGCCAGGGATGCTGCTCAACACCCTACAGTGCAGGTGCCTGACCAGAGAGGGACCAGGGCCTGGAGCCTGGCCTTGGTGGGGAGAGGCCCAGCTCCAGAGCAAGACCCTGGCACCCTGGGTCTGCCGCGCCACGTGACCACAGGATCCCCTCACACCTGCCACGCCCTGGTGCCCTGGGTCAAGATCCCCTCACGCCTGCCACGCCCTGGCGCCCTGGGTCACGATCCCCTCACGCCTGCCACGCCCTGGCGCCCTGGGTCAGGATCCCCTCACGCCTGCCACGCCCTGGCGCCCTGGGTCAGGATCCCCTCACGCCT